GGCCGTGTAATCAACATTTGAGGCTATTCGTTCTCCAGAAAATCATCCATCATGTAGGAGTACAACGTAATGTTTTAAGCGAATGAAAAGTAGAACTTGCGAATAATACACATCGAGACACGGTGGTGTGTAAAATTTCACGTCGACGAGGAGAAAGGATCTTTACCGAGGAAAAAAAGTAGTCGGTTTTTCCATAATGAGGACTTGTCCGATCTCATTCAACTAACTCTTTCTCTCTTTCCTCCTCCTCTCTCCTCATCTGGTAACGCAATTAATCCCAGCGAAGAAAATATCGTTGAGTAAAATAACCGCGGCGCTACTTGAAAACTACCGCCATCGAAGGGCGACTTTCCTTCGATCCTCCGGCTCGACATATCTTTTCCATAATAATGTTTCCATTAAATCCGTATCGGGGGCTGTTAAAATAATGTTATATTAAGCCAGCGTTGATCGCACAAAGGGAATAGCGCGAGAGTTAATGGCAATTTTACAGGGGCAGCTCTCGGGTTTTCCCCGGCTCCTATCTGGAGTATCGTCCGCGCGCGGACGTACTTTAATTGCAATAACTCACCTACAGAAACCTACGAACGACCGTTGGTCCTATCACCCAAAAAGAACGATAAATCCAACCGGAGTGCACTTCCATCTAATGCAAGCGCCGACGCACGCACCCCGAGAGTTCCATTTGTCCATATGCACGTCCAAAAAGAAAAAGGTGGGCGAGGTAATAGCGCGCGAGACACGTCGTACCAAATGTCGTTACTTCGCATATAAAATACCGTGCTTGGTGGCCTCATAAGTGACGTACGGAAAACTTTGAGACTGGAACGCGATAGCCCGTCTTCGGTTAGTCGATTAAGTATTTCGCGGTTATAACGCGGAATGTCCGACGTAACAAAGGCGCCTCCACGTGCTGATGTCACGTCGTAATTAAAATACCTTCTGGCCTCTTTCCCTCTCTCTCTCTCTCTCTCTCTCTCTCTCTCTCTCTCTCTCCCTCTCGTGTTCGAAAGAAAAAAAGAAATTTGTCTGTCTTAACCTTTTGCGTTGATATTTATGTGGCGAGTCTATAAAACGTGTGTATCTATTTAAATCTACGTTCGGAAAGAACGAAAATATACTGCACAACTCAATTTGCACCTGCACAATGCCACAAATTATTTCGCCGAGTTTTGTTGTTGAGAAATAATAAGATTGAGTCAGATTTGTGATTAATAACGCGCACACTTGGCTCGCGAAAGCGCAACATCTAGGAAACATTGTTCCAACGCAAGAGGTTTATCTCGCGAGAAACAGCGGAGAGCGCGCGATAACGCAATTGTCACACGTAACGATCTTGCATAAAAATATATGTACGATATAAAAAATTGACCACGTCCCGAAGCGTAAGCTCGGCTCGGCGATAGAGATAGAATTTTTACGAGAGTCCTTGCAAAAAGTTTCCTTCCCACCGGTAAGCCACCTGCGCGGAATTATGTGTAATATTTAACACCATGCGCGCCTCCGGCGCGTGTTACGCATTGAACGATTGCTGTGTGAATGTTATTTTGGCTTAGACGAGCAACTTGGCTGAAACTGTTGCGAAGTTGCTTAAATATTCCATGCATGCTTTGTCCATATTACGGATAATATTCAATGTAGCTAACGTATATATGGACGGCAGACCCTTGTTCAAACATTTTCCACTATGCACGAACAAGATCAATATTGTATACGGAGCGAAATAATGCGCGACGCTTCCTCTCCTTTTCTCTCTCTCTCTCTCTCTCTCTCTCTCTCTCTCTCTCTCTCTCTCTCTGCAAATTTAACTGAGAAAATACTACCCGTGAATAATATAAAAAGTTATTATCCGCGTGAGGGAAATTCCATTGACGATGTCTCTGTAATTTCCGGTAAAAAAACACGCTATTGAAAAAGACTCGGGCAGATTTTTACGTCGCGCCGCGAGGATGTCAAAACAATTTTCTTCGGTACGCTTATTTCTATAAAGAAGAGCGAATTGTAAATATCCTGCGGTTCTGCAGTTTCTTATCGCGCCGCGCCGTGTTTAATCTCATCTTCGCAGACAGCCTCGCTTATCAGCAATTAGGGCATTTTCGTAATTTCATTTGCCGTGAATGTACTGAGACCGCATGTTCGTTACGTAGAAGTAATTTCCTCCGGCAAAAAGGAAACACGAAAATGTTCAATCGGAAACAGTGCAAATTGCCTTCGCTCGAGCGACTATCTTTCGAGTAAAGCTCTTCGTTTTCAAAACGGAGATAAATGTCGCATATCGAGAGGTGAAGGCTTTTTTTTCTTAGTGTTTTCGCCGCGAAGCAGAGTTATTCTCAGCAAGCGCGTTGGAATAATAAGAGAAGATAATAAGAGAAAGTAGAAACAGTTCGTGCAATATTGCAGGACAAATTACTTCGAAAATACTATACACACAAAAGCACGGCAGTTTACATCGCCGACGTGTCCAATCTTGGAACGCTATTTTCTTCATTCTTGTAATTACAAACATAATCAACTTGTCGCGATGAAACTCGCGTTTCATCGAGACATTTCCCGTGTTCCCCGAGATATTCGCGAGAAAACACGCGGACAATGTATCACTCCGCACTTTACGACACGGAACATAGACCAAAAATGAGAGAAAAAACAAAAGACAAACAAGCGTGAGAGTGGTGAGCCAGAAGTTGAGACGCACGAGAAATATACAACCGCGTAATGCTTCAAACGTGTGCACGCTGCGAAGAAGCCACGAAATAGATGTTCGTAACAAAATGAGAGATAAGAAGGCGTCAAGCGGCACTAAGTCGTCGCCTATTTATATACTTCCCGTATACTTCATACTTCGCAGGACGTAATCGCGTCTGCGGAAGCGAAAGAATTATGCACGACGTAGCGGGGAAATTTTCGGCTCGACGAAATATTAATTTGATCCTCCTCTTTCTCCTGCTCGCCACCTTTCTCGTCTCACCAAATGCCTGCCTTCCGTGTACAACTCCCTCCATTTTCAGCCGAGAAAGGAAATATCGAGAGCGATATTAACGCGAGTTAAATAGCAAGAGAATTTATAAGAGGACAATAAGCGCACTGTACAACAATGAACTGTAATAATGAACAAAAAGTTGCCATTTTTTGTTCAATTCTCTTGCGAAAGTGTCAAGGTTGAAGAACGCGCAAGTTTCTTGCGCGAGGCGCCGTGGTGGCTAATTGTAATCGCTTAAACAATCGAGAATGACTCAATATTCTCAGTATTTGTAATTCTCCACCCTCGACCGGCCGCGTCCCGTGCTTCGTCGATTGTATGCCGTCGGGTTGAGTGGTTCTTAACCCGCAGTTAAGCGTACTTTGTTTCCTTATGTAGCGAACGCGCCGGCCTCATCTCGGGTCACCTTTACAGACTAATTACGCGCTCGTTCGACCGTAGTATATTTCAATAAAAATTCTATTCCATTAACCTCCGCGCGTCTCTTATATACACATATATATCTCTATAAACCGACATCCCCCAGGCGAATCAACGGCTCGCGGAGCCACTTCCTGCTCGTTCGGAGGAGCGTAAAATCAACGTTTATTAAAAATACTCGACGCAATAATATACTTGAGAGCGCTACCGTTGTTTTGCCCGCAACGATTTTCTCGCTCTACAAGGTAACACCAAGGTGCAGCTTCATCGCTCTCTACGAGAAGGGTGTTATAGTTTTATAATCTACTCTCTACAGACACCGTGTCTAAAGATAATTAACAAGATATTTAATATACGTTTCGTGTGTTAATTAGCGGCGCAACTTCTCGCAATATTAAACCAGAAATTATGCATGTTTAATGCTCAGCGTGTGCACGCATGCTCTGCACACTGAGTTAAATTAATATTTCTCGCACTCTAATATTTGACGCGATTATCATTATTGCAAATTTTCGCTCGAGCTGAATATTATTATCATTATTATTATTATTATTGTTATTGTTATTGTTATTGCCCCCACCCGGCATGTTTATTTATAAGAGACACTTATTTGCATGCTAATGTATTTTAGCTCTCAACCAATGCAGCCGGTACTCGCAGCCGCGTATATTGTTCATTGCTATAACTAAAGTGCGCAAACTACGTTGGCATTTGGTCGTCTCACTACAGTGCGCTCTATATAAGACTACAGTAATTTCACCAAAACTAGCCCAGAAGAGGCTTTATATATACATTCAATTAATTTTTTGATCTCGGCAACTTTTTGCGACACATCTCTCGGGAGTCATTTCAACGATGGAGCCGGCAGCAACGTCCGATACGTGTCATTTTATAAAATTTATAAAGGAAGGCAATGAGATGACGCTTATGAAATCACGCCGAGAAAGACGTCACAGCCAGCGAGAAACAATTTCAGGGGTAGAGAGGAGGAGGGGGAACATAACACGGTCAAAGCTCGATTAAACGTTCCACGTCGCGAGAAATGGACAAATTTCACAGTGCGGCGCGTGCTAAACGTGAACGTTACCTCGACGAAATGATAAATCAAATGAAGAAGCACAATTCTTTCTCCATTCCTTTTCCTGTTCTCTCGTTCTTAATTGCGATCGTTTCGAGAAATTCAGCCGAGTCGTGTGATTCTGCTGCTGGTGCGCGAAACACCTGACGCAAGCTCAGCATACGTCGCTTTGCACCGAGAGTGCAAAGAGGAGAAAAGAGGAGACAGACAGAGAGAGAGACAGAGAGAGAGAGAGAGAGAGAGAGAGAGAGAGAGAGAGAGAGAGAGAGAGAGAGAGAGAGAGAGGTCAGTTCAGTTTAGCATCAGCACACGTACGGGAAAAAAATATTCGCATGCATGCAGCGCAAACAAAGAGCAAATAGACAACAACGAACAGGCATGCACGGTATCTCTACACTGGTGGCCATCGGTGGTGGACCGTCGTCACCGGTGCACTCTCGTGCGTCCTACCAATTTCGATGCTCCACGAGCGGCAGTATGCGTATATATATACGAGACGGCGGATAGATCATTTATACTACTCACAGACTCTGCGACAAGAAGCGTGACAGCGCCAACTTGCTGATACGATTGTTTTTCAGGCCGTCCAGCATCGCTGATGCCGCGATTTCCATTTTCGCGTTACCTCCGCTAGTAAGAAGACAGGAGGAGAAGGAGTGGGAACGAGTGCGGCCACGCGCTCCGCAAATTCAATCAACCCCGATCGTCCGTCGTAAAAAAGATCGAGCCGCGCCGGGAAACGATCGCTCACTCACACTCACACGCACTCTCTCTCTCTCTCTCTCTCTCTCTCTCTCTCTCTCTCGTCTGTCTGTTATTTTTTATCCCGCGCCTTCGCTGCTTTATCTCCCAACAGCGACGAACTCTATATGCCTCTTGTCTATCCGCTGATGGCTCGTCGATGTGTCCCGTTTCATGATTCGATCTCTTGCCGTCGCCAACGCGTTTTCGCTCCCTTCTCGCACGTGATACACGAAACTCTCCGTTTCTCAGTGTAAAAAGAGAAACTTTACGACGACGATATACGACGAAAACTCGGCTCGCTTCGATGGATCGATTCGATGTTCTTGTTGACGCAGGTAATTCACCTTTCGTGTCTTCAATCACGCGCTGTGGACGCGCGACGTACGTCGCTCCTCTCGAGAGCGGCTACTTTCACTGCTTCGACTTCACGAATAGAGACGAACTTCTTACACGCAACTTCTTCGGCTACTTCGACGTTTGCTCTTTTTCCCTCCCTTTTCTCTCTTGCTTGCTTCGATCGCTCGGACGAGTATATCATTCGCTCCTCGTCGACCCTTCCTCTCGGCGGTTTCCCATTTTCATTGCTCTTCAATATCGCGTCCAGTTGATAGAGGGAGCGTCTATTTTAAACGAGATAAGGGGGAAGAAGTTTCCGAGAGAGAGGGAAATATCACCCAGCGTGAGAAGAGCCTGAGTCTTACGAGTCGGAAGTTCGAGTCGATGGTTTGGAAATTTCAGTCAGTCTATTTAACCCAATTTCCAATCGACTGGCGCGCTCGTTATGGTCTCATTGAATCGCGCCCGTTAAAATTATCACACAATTGCGGCGCGCATTTAATGTCCTAGATTACGCAAGTGCCGCTAATGGCGTGCATGTAAAAATACAACGAGCGAGCACGAGAAAACACGAGCGCGTGTACGTATATATGTGCTCCTCGTGTATCGAACTGCACCGCGCTCCGAATAGCGGAAATGCGCGGGATAAACGCACGCACGTATTTTTAGCGAAGAATCGAGGGCGAAGATAGTCGCCGTGTGTGCGCGCGCCTCAACGGTCAACAATAAACAACGCGAAACTGCAAACGTAACAACAACAACGGCGGCGGTAACAGTGAACTGGAATCGCCTTCGATTCGACAACAACGAGAATCACATTTTACGACTTGATGAGTCCGGAGGGTGCTGGCGGTGCTTGGTGGCGGCGGTGGTGGTGGTGACGGTGGATCGCCGTGGTGTGTCTCACACCGAGGTTCTTCAGGTACCTCGGGTACTGGAGGTATAGGTGGTACTTTCCCTCCACACACACACACACACACACACACACGCACACACTCACCCACACACACGCACACGCGCACGCACTGTGTAAGCGTCAGGAGCCGCGGCGGGAACTGAAGCGCGCGACGCACCGCGAGAAAGGCACCATGAGGATCTCTCCCCCAACTTGGTCTCTCCTCTCTCTCTCTGTTGCGCGTTTCACTACTCTCGCCTTCTCTTGGTAGGTTCTCGTGTATCAGGGGACAGCGGGCTTATCGGTCATTCCGCGGAAACATCGAAAATAGAGAGGAAAAGAGACAGAGAGAGAGAGAGAGAGAGAGAGAGAGAGAGAGAGAGAGAGAGAGAGAGAGAGGAAACTCGGCAATTCGTTGTTATCTCGCTACACTCTGGACACACAGAGAGAAAGGTGAAGATACCAAGGGATGTCTTCCTCGTTTCCCGCGATCGATCTACGATCCTTCACGAACAACAGCGTCTTGACGACGACAGCTAAGGCGAGTGTTTCGGCCCGATAAATCCAGCCCGACCGCTCGGCGATCATTCGAGCGTTCTTCTCTCGTGGCGACGCAATCTCGATCGTTCGTTCTTTCGGCGAGATCGTGAGTTCAAGAGTGGGCCGTTTCAAAAGAGGGAAGACAGCCGGACGAGAGAGGGCCGTCCGGGCTTTGTCGCGCGTAAGAGGATAATCGTGTATTTAAGAGAATGAAAGGGCAAAGAGAGAGAGAGAGAATCAGTCGGAGAGATAACGAGAGATCGAGGGGAGCTCTCTCCCCCTGTGGACAAGTTAGCCGTTCGCCAAACGCGGACTGCCGCTCTGTGGTCGACGGTGTGACCTACTCGCACTGCTCTCAGCTGCTTCCAACCCCCAAAGTCGTACCGTCATCCCTACCATACTCCCCGTAGCAACCCCTACCTCCGGCTTCACGTTTACCCCCGGAGCAGTCGCTATCCCTAGCCCGATCTTCTCCATCTCGGCTGCCTCCCACCCCCGTCTCTCGTCCACACCGTCCTCCCCCGCCTTCCGCTCTTCCTGCCGCTCCTCCAACCCCTGTAACCGAACTTCCTCCGCTCCCCCTCAACCCCGTCTAAACCCCCACCAGGAGCGGTAGCCACTTCCATCCATCGCCGCCACCACCGCCGCCGCCGCCGCCGCCGCCGCCGCCGCCGCGCTTCCCACCCCCGTCGGCTTTCGCCCGAACCACCTCGCCGCACACTCTCGTCACCGCTGGAAACTCCTAGTTTTACCGTAAAACCGTTAGCGTTTTTCCCAAATACACCCGACACGCGCCACGATTTCGATCTCGAAACTCGGGGCTCCGGTTTAGCCCGCTCGACCCATCAGCGCTCTCTCGCCGGCTCTCATCGGTATAAGCGGCCTCGCGTGCGCGCCACACGAGTGACTTTTCGCGAGAGACAAGTAGTGAGCTGAACGCGTTACGTGCTCCTCTTCGTGCTCGCCAGCGTGCTTACGCTCGCGAGAGCACGAGCGCCCGAACCCAGCAACTGTTTGCTACACATGCATGGCTGCCTGTAAGTGTAGATGCACTACCTACACCTCGCCGGCGCGTATCATTAACGTGAGCGGATCTTATCGATTGTCGTACGCCGGTTGTACACCCAAGTGCAAGAGTGTCGAATAAGCATTAACAGCGTGGATAGCTGAAAGCGGGAGGAGGGCGCCTGTACAAACTGTGCGATCTCGCGGAATGCATAATGCGGTCTGACGAGCGTCACTTTTCGACGAACTCTCTGTCGTCCCCAGCCTGCTCTCCCGTTGTCCGCACGCGGGAGAAGCGGTTTAATCTACTTTCAGCCGGGTGTTATGTATTGGCATTAACCCGATACCTCGACAGGTCCGGTTGCAACGAGAGAATTTTCGTTAATGGATTCCATGTGTACCTTCATTGGCTATGAACGAAAAGCTCAGCCCGAACGGAAACGTCGATAGCTTTCGCACTGCGGACGAACGATCGAAGCTACTGGCGCTCCTTCGGGAATTGAAAAATGCGAACGAACGAATAAAGATCACATCCTGAACGGTTTCTCTCTCAGCTGAAGCTTTAATTTGATCCGCGATTAGTTTCTGCATCGAATTGTCTTTAAGCAGCTAAAATCAGCAGGTTTCAGGGAGCTATTGTTTTTGCTTCAATTCCGCCGCGAATTTTGACTTTGATGTTAGTTACCTACAGTTAGATATTTTTCATCGAATTTTCCGAAGGAAGATTAGTTTGTCTTAAGGGGCTGATCCCAAGGCTCTTTCCTCACGTCCGTAAAATGTCCCCCCGTGAGAACGCGAGACTTTCTGTCCAATCCTGAAACATGAACGTGGAAACTCAAAAATTTACAGGATCGGCCGACGTTTCAGCGAGAAACAAGGTCTGGAGGCTAAAAGGGAAGCAATGGATAGAAACGTCTCGTGACAACAAACTAGATTTTCTGGAGAAAAATCCGAACCAGCGAAAGAATACCGTCGATGCTGTTGAGCGGTCGTCCCACTTCGAATAGCGTGTACGACGACCGACGTACACACGCACGTACACACGTACAGATAAAGAAGTATCGTTTAAGAGAAGTAACCGCAAGGCTGACGAGGCAGCGGGCGATAGCTGCGCACGTCGTTAAAATGCTTTCGAGGTAGCCGTTAAAGAGGAAGATGCGAGTCCTTTTCGCACAACACGTGTCTCGAAGGTAACTCACCCGTCGGGCTTTTAGTCCGCGGAGCACGTTTTTCTCCCCTCGAGTAGGAGCGTAGATGTGCATGCAACTAAAAGTTTCGCGAATTCCTGCCTGTACTTTCAAGCTCGCGTAAAGGGCGCAATGTGTGTGTGTGATCTTACGTGCGCGCGTGTGTGTGCGTCTGCGATCAGACAGACGGGTCCCTCTCCGAATGCGGCTGTTCCTTTGGGCCGGCAGTGCCAATTTATCGCAAGTCAAGCATCTAACCGGGAGAAATTGTAAAAGTTCCGCGCAAGTGACTGTGTTTCGAGGCGTGCGCCGATAAAATCGCGACCGGAGGAAAACGAAACGCCGCCGATCGATTAGGCGACTCGCGCAACGCGATACGTGACGAGCATTCCGAGCGTCCCATAACTCTCGTCGGTAAACCATTTTTTATTGCGATAGCCCCGCCGAGCTAGCCAATACGGCCGCCGGCGAAACGAACGAGAGAGCGTTACAGCAACGAGCATTGTGCAAAATGTGCACTTTGTGTGTGACCTGCGTTCGCATCCCACACGCAGTTCCCGCGCGCGCGCGCGCACACATGTTTTACGGATGATTTGTACCGTGCCTTATTAACGTGCTCTCTCAAATATCCACGGCGGCATGCGCGATTCATGTAACGTAGCAAAGCACCGTATAACGTACGGTAGCTTTATCCACACATCAATTAGGTACGAACCTAACCAATTAGGACAGACCGATTACAGCAGCGAACCTTTCTCGCAACTTCGGCCGTTCGGCCCAGCGCGATAAGGGATTCCTCCTAATATAATCGCGAAATATATAGCCGCCCGTCGCCGCCCCCCCCCCTCCGCCCCTTCGGAACGCTCGCTGCAGATGTTACGTATGCGCAAGAACGAGTGAGAGAGTGAACGGCAATTATAAGCGTCGCTACATCGGCCACCTACCGTGATTCTTCGTGCATGATGAATTATGACTCATCGGCGATCTTGCGATGCGTTCCACGCGGGACGACGATCGGCGCCCCGGGGAGATACCGTTACACACAAGGTAATGGATCTGGGACGGTATCGTACGGAAACACACATCGGGGATGGAGAGGCGGTAACGCGTCCGTAAACATCCGACCGAAGACGGACGTTGATGGAGCGACTATTCGTCTCGCCTCGTTTTTCCACGAGTCGCAATTATCGCGAACGACCATCGAAGGGCCATCGGTGAGCTTGCACGCCGCTGGCCGACACGCCTCGTCGAGTCGTCGTCATCGTCATTGTTCGTCATCCTCGCTACGTTGAACACATCACAGCGCAATACGTCGAAGATTTGCACATTGCCAGCGGCCTCACGGCCATTTCGCTTGTAACCAGTTTACCGTATCAACTGAGCGATCGCACGACCCTGAGGTATATATTCAGAACGCAATTACGTGTTAAAATGGAACCGAGATATGCCATCGATTACAGGTGTTGAAGTACAAAATAAAGAAGGGGGGAGGGGGGGCAAGAAAGAACGACAAGAGGGGAAAAGAAAGCAAAAAGATACGACTCTCGGAAAGCGTCGCAGCTCGTGGATTGTAAACACGATCGAGACTGTCGAGGAGCGTTCTCGCGAATTAAAGCTTCAGCGAAGGGTGTGTAGATAGGCGAGATACTTTAATATGGATTACACGGGGGAGGCCCTGTGTAATTTCCACGGAGCCCCATCCGTGCGAATCGAAGCGTACGCGGAATTTTTGCAGCGCGATGGAAGGGCGCGTGGAATCGCCGTCACGTTGTAAGGGAAGGAAGTCGCTCGAGAAACGTGGCTAAATGAGAATTCTTAATCCTCCCTTCCCACCGTTCCGCACATACTGAAGTCGTTAATATATGACGGCGATTAGCGACATTAATGCCGGCATATCTCTTGCATGCGGACAGCCAGCGGGAAAGCTAACGAAATTTCAAACAGCAAGCGCGTCCCTCGTAACGCGCTCTCGATTTTGTCGCGAGAGATTTTACGATACTGTTAAAAATATATTATTAAATTACAATAAAAGAGAGAAAGAGTATCGGATTGTGTGTGTTCGGCAAAGAACGTAAGGACTCTTGCGAATAGCTGAAAATCGATACTTGTTTTATTTTTTGATCTTTAAATACGAATATTCTCTCTCTTAAACGTCCGCGCTGTAACTCGTATTTAAATGTAATAAATGAAAAATAAAATCTACAAAGGAGAAAATGTAAAAAGGAAGTTAAAATTATGGTTACAGCATACTTGCATATTTTTCGATTAATGTTGAATTTTTTTAAATAAATAATTACAAGCGGGAAATTTCTGTCTCATTCTCTGCAACTTTTGTCTCCGTTGAAA